AATATAATATAATATAATATAATATAATATAATATAGCAAGAGTAGACCTCGTAAGGCTATTGACTCTCATTTATTGTGGAAAAAGCTCTACTACCAATCGACTAAGTCACCTTGATCAACCCTAGCTCATCCAATTAGTATTTGAGACACTTATTCACTCTAAATAAATATTCCTCAAAGAAATTTGTATATTTGACATTCCACTTGGCTACATTGAATAAAGGGTTAGAGCATTTTTTGCACGTTGAACGCTACCCTCTCTTCAGTAGATAAGTCGTTATTTTGTGCAAAAGTTTTCTCAATTTTTTCCAATTTGCGGTACTTCTTTCTTCGAGTCCAAGTTGATATTTCTCTCTCTGAGTGCTTGTCAATCTGGAAGAATTTTCTCGTCTGGACACTGCCGGACTAGCCTAATCCGTAGCACATTTCCTTAATCTCTGACGTCCAATATCGCCCCTGGCCAGGCCACATCAGAATTGGGCTACAACTCGTCCATACCTGCCCCAACCGTGAGACCCTAAACGCTGCCCCGCTTTCGTCCAGATCCTCTTTGTTAGGTTTTTCCCACTGAACACACTCCCTCGTGCTCTCTCTGTGCGCGAATACACATTCTAAGAGTCAATAGCTTCCTTTAATGATGAAGTGAGCAATTTCACTTTTTCTGCAAAGTCGCCGTGGTTTTATGGTCTAGAAGGATTAAATCCAAATTCATTAATGCATCTGCTTCCTAATTCGTTCCTGAGATTTATCTTGTTCCAAACCTTGAATTTGTTCGGAGAATATATATATATATATATATATATATATGCATATTAAGATCAAATGCTGAACTGTCACGGTTCGACTCCCGCTGGACGTGTTAATAAGACCGAGGCGACGTCGAAACTGCAGTTCACTCTGGCCAGGATCAAAACAAATTCTTGGAAATTCTATGGAAACGTAGGTGCTATTCATCGCGTCTTTCGATGAAATGGGGTGAGTTCATCTCATAAAAGTAAAACAACCCTGCCAAAATTAAAGGTTTCTAGAAAGACAATTCGCATGAACCGATAAAGCAACGGATTTATTTTTGTTCCATTTATACTATACAAATCTATTCTATACTATGCTACACTAAATATAGATTCAACTTTCTCTGATGCCTCTTGCTCACCAAGTTCGTAATACTTGTTGGCATTTTGTCTGCAACGTTTTCCGG